AGCTGCTGCTGCTGCTGCTGCTGCTGCTGCTCCTGCTGCTGCTGCTGCTGCTGCTGCTTCTTGCTGTAGCACAGCAGCATATCTCCGCTCACCGGCATCGCACCGCGAATGCGGCGGCCCTCAGCTGTATGTACAGCTTCAAATGTGCGGCAGTCAAGCACGATTAGTTCTGTCTCCTGCAGCAGCAGCGCAGCAGCAGCTTCTAGCTTCCTCAGCAGCAGCAGCTCCTGCTGTTGCTCCTCCCCCCGCTGAGGAGCACCTCCTCCTGCTGCTTCTGCTGCTGTTGCTGTTGCTGCATTTGCTGCTCCTGCTGTCTGCAGCAAACCAGGAACAAGCATAGGCAGCCCCGGCTGCAGATGCAGCAACAACTCGAGCCAGTCCCTAACACTGCGCTGCTGCTGCTGCTGCTGCCGCTGTTGCTGCTGCTTCTGCTGCTGTTGCTGTTGCTGCATTTGCTGCTCTTGCTGCTCCACCTCCGAAGCGGGGGAGCAGCAAAGCGCCTGGTCCGGTGTACTGCGGTTGCTGCAGCTGTTGCTGCTGCTGCTGCTGAGGCTCTCTCTTGCTGCTTCTGTCGTGCCTGTGTCTGGCGAATCTGTGAGTCCTGCTGCTGCTGCCGCTGCTGCTGCTGCTGCTGCTTCCGAGTCTTGCAGCGTGTCTGATTTGTGGGGCAGCCGCTCGAAGCTTCCAGGGAGAGATATATGTGCAGGAACAGCCTCCTGCTGCTGCTGCTGCAACTGATGCTGCCTCTCCACCTGCTGCTGCTGCAGCAGCAAAGTCTGCTGCGGCTCCTTCTGCAACTCCTGCACCTGCTGCTCCTGTTCCTGCGGCTGCTGCTGCTGCTGCTGCTGCTGCTGCGCCGTAGCTGCTTCAGTTGCTGCTTCCAGTGAAGCCAGCTGCTGCCTTAGAGCCTTCAGATGCTGCTTTATCGACGCTCGCCGCAGCAGGAAGCTGCAGAGAGACTCCCCATCCATTAGTGGTGGCAGCCCCCCTGCAGCAGCAGCAGCAGCAGCAGCAGCAGCAGCACACGCAGGCCATGCAGCAGGTGCAGAGACAGCAGCAAGAAACCAGATGGCAACTGCAACATGATCCCGGGAACTAACTACTGCAGCAGCAGCAGCAACAGCAGCAGCAAAAGCAACAGCAGCAGCAGCAACAGCAGCAGCAGCCGCAGCAGCAACAGCAGCAGCAGCAGCACCTGCACCGGCAGTGCCATCGTAACGGCAGCGCAGCAGACAGCGGCCATACAGCAGCAGCAGCAGCAGCAACTGCAGCAGCAGCAGCAGCAGCAAAATTTCTCACGGTTTTCTCTCCCTCTAGAAGACTGAAGGGCTGCATTGAGCAGACATTTAGGTGTACGTACAGCTAAGATAGAGGCTTGAACCCACCAGCTTCTTGCTGCTGCTGCTCCATCACCCGTTGCTGCTGCTGCTGCTGCTGCAGCAGCAGAAAGGCCTCCATCCGCAGCCGGAGCACCCTGAGCTGCTGAAGCAGCTGCAGCAACGCCATCAGCAGCAGCAGCACCAGCAGCAACACCAGTATCAGCGCTAGCACCAGCAGCAGCGCCAGCTGCTGCAGCAGCAGCAGCAGCAGCAGGAAGGAACGAGGCTAAGCGGCAGCTAGCCAAGACCTCAGCAGCAGAACAGCAGCGCCGCAGCTGAGGGCCGTTTGCAATAAGAAGAGACACTGCCAGCAAAAGTCTCCTGCAAACCAACATCATCAAACCCTAAACCCTAAACCCTAAACCCTAAACCCTAGAACCTAAACACTAGAACCCTAAACCTTAAACCCTAAATCCTCATTGTTAAACGCTCAGGTCGGGTGTCTTAGGGTCTGAGGTTCGCCTTTAGTGTTTAGGGTTTAGGGCTTGAGGGTTTAGGTTTTTAGGGTTTAGGGTTTAGGGTTTAGGGTTTAGGGTTTGCAGTGTACGTACGCCTGCGGCTCCTTTACAAGAGCCAGGAAACGCCATAGGGTGTGTAGACACTGCAGCTTCTGCTCTGTCGTCTCCCTTGCTGCTTCTGCTGCAGCAGCAGCAGCTGCTGCTGCTGCTGCTGCGGGGGGCACGGCGAAGCAGCGGGAAGCAAAGGCTGTTCCTAACCACTCTGCAGCAACTGACAGCAGCGAGAGGCCCTGCTGCTGCAGCAGCAGCAGCAAGTCCGGGCAATGATAGAGCAGCAGCGCATGCAGAGTTGCTTCGGTCTCCTCGCGCTGCTGCTGCCGCTGCTGCAGCAGCTGCTGCACCTGCTGCTCGTCTGACTGCAGCGCAGCAACCAAAGACGATGGGCAAAAGCCCTTGCTGTTGCTCAAAGGCGCTGCTGCTGCTGCTGTTGCTGCTGCTGCTGTTGTGGCTGTTGTTGCTGCTGCTGCTGCCGGGGGGTCGTCGTCCAGCAGCACGTCCTCGAGCTCATCGCTTCTGCTGCTGCAAGATGATCTTCTCGAAGGGCCTGATGCTGCTGCTGCTGCTGCTGTTGCTGGTGCTGCTGGTGTTGCTGCTGCTGCTTCTGTTGGTGCTGCTGCTGTGACTGGAGCTGCTGGTGGTGCTGCTGTAGCTGAGGGCTCATCTTCTGCAGGCTTCTGCTGCTGCTGATTTTCCTGCTGCTGCTGCTGCTGCTTTTCCTGCTCGCTATTTTGCTGCTGCTGTCGCATTTGACGCTGCTGCTGCTGCTGCTGTAGGTACTGCCTGTACACCGCAGCAGCAAAGGCACGAGAGACAGGCGGATATGCGCAAGCGTCCAGCAGCTGCTTCTGTTGCTGCTGTTGCTGCTGCTGCTGCTGTTGCTGTTGCTGCTGCTGCTGCACGTCTCCAACAGCAGCGTCTGAAGGAGACAGTTGGCTGCCGTTGTCGGCATCGCCGTTACAGGTGCTGTTGCTGCTGCTGCTGTCACTGCTGCTGCTGCTGCTGCTGCTGCTGCTGTTGGTGTCCTGCGCGTCCTGATCCTTCGTCAGCAGCAGCAGCAGCAGTGCCGGTGCAGCAGCTTCCCGCACCACGAACTGCAGCACAGCAAAACGCTGGCTGCGAGCAGCAGCAGCGAGAGGAGGCAGCGCAAGCACTGCAGCAGCGACCAAAGCAAGCCCTGAAGCAAGCAGCAAACAGCAGCAGCAGCAGCAAACAACCCGCAAACGAAGAATGAAGCAAACACAAGGCAGCAGCAAATAAGGATAAAGACAGAAAATACTAATGCTAGCAGCACCACCAGCAGCAACAGCAGCAGCAGCAACAGCAGCAACAGCACATGCAAGGGACCCAGACAAACTGAAACCAAACACCCCCCAACTGCTGCTGCGTGCTGCTGCTGTGTGCTGCTGCTGCTGCTGCTGCTGCTGCAGTTGCTACCTATTTATGTATTACCTGGGGTGTATAGGCAGCTGTTGAGGGCACAGAACTCCGTCACAAATTGCTGCACTTGGCTCCGTTCAAAAAGCACCACCTCTCTTTCAAGCTGCTGCTGCTGCTGCTGCTGCTGCTGTCCAGCAGCAGCAGCAGCAGTGAGGATGTCTAGATCATGCTGCAGCAGCGCATTCTCGTCGCTTGTAAAGGTATGCAGAGAAGCAGAGACGAAGCAGCACATGTCTTCTCCTGCAAGCAGCAGCAGCAGCAGCAGCAGCAATGACAGCACCAGCATCAGGAATTGCTGCACCAGCTGCT